GGTATAGACATTATATAAGTAAGAAATGAGCAGGAATTGGACTCACAGAGAAGAAACAGTGATGGTTTTGTGTGTGTTCATATCACATGGTTTAGGAATGTTTTTGTTTGTTTTATTTTATTTTATTTTTTGAGTTGGAGTCTCACTCTGTCGCCCAGACTGGATTGCAGTGGCTGCTCCCAGCCACCACAGCCTCGACCTGCTGGGCTCCGGTGATCCTTCCACCTCAGCCTTCCTAGTAGCCGGAATTACAGGCATGCGCTACCATGCCCGGCTAATTTTTTGATTTATTGTAGAGATGAGGTCTCGCCTGCCCAGGCAGGTCTGGAACCCACGGGCTCAGACAATCCACTCACTTCAGCCTCCCAAAGGTGCGGGATTACAGGCTGAACCACTGAGCCTGGCTGTTTTTGTTTGTTTTAAGTGGAGGAGCGTATTCTGTGCTCTTCTTGAGTCCCTCAGCTTTTTGCACACTCTTCTTATTATAGCACCTGACCCAACTTAGGGTAGGAAAAAGGACCGTCCCCATGGAGGCTTATAGGACTTGTCTCTACTTTCACTAGTTTTAGGCTCGGCTAGGAACTTTCAGGTCCACCTGTCCAGAAAGGAACTGAATACATAGGTGGGGTTCACTCTGCAAGAGTCCTAGGAAAGGGGGGACAAGGTTTTAAGCACCAGAAACTGTGCATTTGTAGTTCATGAGAGCTGTCAGGCACTAATAGCCTAAAGTGCTGAATTCTGTTGATTGAACATTTGGAAACACTCATCTTAGCTCATTGATTATGAATCCATATGGATACAACCAACAGCAAATGTCTCTCCCCGATTCAGTGTTCTGTTCCTTTCATGAGATTCCAGAAAACAGACAAGCGGATTTCTTTCAAATAACTGTGTGCAAAGGCACATGATCTGAGGTTCACAAACTTGTTATATACCTCAAAGCTCAAAGGCACAACGATGTACTTTGTTTAATGATACTATACCTTTATTTTTTAGTTACATGCATGGTAAACAGGGGTGAAAAGCATTTTTGACTACGAGAACAGAAAAAGGAAATGTCATAAGTTGGGACTGGTAGATAGTACACTCTCCTGGCAGTTGATTCTAGTCTCAGTTCTGAATCTGACCAGCTGCCTCACTTTTTAATTCTTATTTTTGGAAATGGGGAATCTCACTGTTTTACCCAGGCTGGGCTCAAACTTTTGAACTTGTGATCCTCCTGCCTCAACCTTCTAAGTACCTGGGACTATAGGTGTACACCACCAGGCATGGCTGACTGCCTGACTTTCAATAAACCTTGTTAGGTTTTTGAGCCTGATTTTAAGTGTCTGTTCAATTGTGGGTGGTGGCGTCTCCCTGGTGGTCTAGTGGTTAGCATTTGGGCACTCTGTCTCTCTCTCTCTCTGTTGTGGGGGTAGATGAGGACAGTAATTTTTCCAAATCCTTTCTTACCATGGAACTTTATGTTTAAGTGAAATCTTATACAGATGTATAAACAAATAGAGAATCTATTACCACAGACCTCCTTGGGGCTGGAAACTCTCTCTCATGCCTTTATCCTTGATGAATACCAGATTGAGTGGCTAAGTTTAGCTCTAAACCTCTGTTTTTGTTGTAATTAATCATATTTTTCATTCCTGTCCTAGATTTTGATGCTCAGCCTTTTTTGGAGTTTTTTTCTTTCTCTCTTTAATGGAATTGTAAAGCACTAGAGCAGGAGGGAACTTGGTGGTCTTATAGTTCACAATTCCTCATCTAGGAGGTGAGGATGGTCTTTAGGTTGTCTAAAGTCTCTGAAATTGTATGTAGTATTTTGTCTTTGTGATTTTTTTTTTTTTTTTTTTTTACCCCTTAGGGAAAGGGCACATAGTTTTTTCATCAGATGCTATAGAAGTTGCATGACCCTCACTGATCTGGCTCATCTATGATAATTACCCAATAATTACTCTCAGATAGCAGCTATACATACTCTTAGAAATTTGATCTAAGCCCTTCTCCCATTTAATAGTTTCTGGTATGTTAACAGTCCCTTTTTCCTCCACTAAACTGGTTAACATTTTCTACTCCCTGTCCTAGCCTTTTCATGGATCCCAGGTTAGGACCTTTTGTCTAGCTAGTGCTGCTTAAATTTTAATAAGCATACAGGTCACCAGGAGATCTGGTTAAAGCCTGTTGTGATCTCTCGATCTGGAATGGTTCCTGCAGTTCTGCATTCCTAACTAGCTTCCAGGCAATGCTGTTGCAAAAAGACACTTGTGACTAGCAAAGGGTAGACTATCCAAACCTTGAGGCAGAGATCTTATCTGCTTTATTCTGGTCTTTCCAGTGCCTAGCAGTGGTTGATACATAGAACCAGTAAGTGTTTTCTGCCTTCTCATGTCTTAGTTCACTCTTAGGTTCATTACCTACAAATTATAAAGGCCAAATATTTTTCAGGCATTTAACTACTTAATAAGAATTTAAAGATGATTAAGTTTAAGTTCTCTCTTTTTTAACTAATTTTTATTCTTGTTTGGGAATCAAGGAATTATGTTTGGTGTTGTAGACATTGAGATGGAGTACATAATACTCGGAACTCAGGGAATGAAGTCCCTGTGGGACAGCCACCACACCATCTGGATCGTTCATTAATCCCATCAGCTTGACCCGCAGTGTGGTCACCACCTTACATTTGGCTGGTTATGCTTGTAATCTGTCAAAACCCTAGACTTTACATGTGAAGACCTGAGCTTTAGATATGTTCAATTTGAAGTGAGAGAGGTACTTAAAAGTAGATACGTCTTTTTTTAATCTTTTCTGAGTTGGAGTCTCACTCTGTTGCCCAGGCTGGAGTGCAGTGGCATGCTCATGGTCACTGCAGCCTCTACCTGCTGGGCTCAGGCAATCCTTCCGTCTCCGCCTCAGCCTTCCAAGTAGCTGGAACTACAGGCACACACCACCATGCTCGGCTAATTTTTTTTTTTTAATTTATTGTAGAGATGAGGTCTCGCCAAGTTGCCCAGGCTGGTCTCGAATCCGTGATCTCAGCCAGTTCTCTCACCTTGGCCTCCCAAAGTGCTGGAATTAGGGACATTAGCCACCACACTCAGCCATAGATATGTTTTGTAGCCATAGAAATGTGGCTTTGGAGCTAGAGGTGTTAAAAGGCCATTTTGTAAATAGCAAAGCACTAAAAAAAGGTTAACTGTTACTATTTTGAGAGTAAACATATAATCAAAGAAAATTATTGAAAGGAGCATTACCTATTTTCATCTTTTAATTATAATTATCCAGTTCTTTAGGTGATTTATGTTTGTTTTGCTTCCTTGACAAAATCATGTGAAGTTTTTCTTATTTTAGTAGTACTGATATTTTAGTATCTGATATTTCAGGAAGAGTGTATGTAAACTACATATTAAGAGACTAATACTACTGTTTTAATTTTTTTTTTTGAAGTTTTGTGGTTTGTTTTGTTTGTTTCTTTTTTATGAGACAGGGTCTTGCTGTCACCTGGCTGAAGTGCAGTGGTGCCATCATAGCTCACTGCAGCCTTGAACTTCTGTGCTCAAGTGATCCTCCTGCCTCACTGAGTAGCTGGGACTACAGCCATGCCTGGCCGATGGGGCGGGGGGGCAAAAACAGGTTCTTACCGTGTTGCCCAGTCTGGTCTTGAACTCCTGGCTTCAAATGATTCTCCTGCCTAGACCTCCCAAAGTGCTGGGATTATAGGCATGAGCCACCATGTCTGGCCTGTATTTATTAAACAGTCTTTAAATAGCAGAAAAAGTGGAAACAACCTGTATGGCCAAGAAAATGGTTAAAAAGATTATGAGTTGCCACTTGAAATTATATTTAGGGGCTGGGCATGGTGGCTCACGCCTATAATCCTAGCACTTTGGCAGACCTAGGTGAGAGGATTGCCTGAGCTCACGGGTTCGAGCCCAGCCTAGGCAACTTGACGAGACCTCATCTCTACAATAAATCAAAAATTAGCTGGGCATGGTGGCACTTGCCTGTAGTTCCAGCTACTTGGAAAGCTGAGGTAGAAGGATCACCTGAGCCCAGCAGGTCGAGGCTGCAGTGGCCGCGAGTAGTGTGCCACTGCACTCCAGCCTGGGCTACAGAGTGAGACTCTGACTCAAAACAAAAATTGTATTTAGAACAAATTATTTTAATAATATTGGGAAATACTGTTTAGGAAAAAAAACATGATGCAAAACTGCATATGCCACATGATCTCAGCCACCTTAAATTGAGTAAATGAAATATTAGAAGGAAATGCATCAAATTATGTCATCTCTTGGTATTTGGGGATTACAGATTTATTTTCCCTGTTTGCTTTAGTAAGCACACAGAAAGGCTTTTTTTTTTTTTTTTTTTTTTGAGTTGTAGCACGCTCACGGCCACCCCAGCGTCAGACTTGGTGAACTCCAGCAATCATTTCGCCTCAGCCTTCCAAGTAGGCAGAACTACAGGTGCACGCTACCACGCCCGGCTAATTTTTTGATTTATTGTAGAGATGAGATCTCACCATGTTGCCCAGGCTGGTCTTGAACCTGCGGGCGCAGGCAGTCCTCTCACCTCAGTCTCTCAAAGTGCTGGGATTACAGACTTGAGCCACCGTGCCTGGCCTAGGCATTTTTATGAGAAACATTTCACAGAAAAGACAACAAAATTATCTATGATTCTAGTAGGTTTTCTCACACAAACATGCAAATTATTATTACAGTTTTACTGTACACTTACTGCTTCTATACATTGCCTTTTTTTGTTAGCTATTAGAACAGTGGTATGTAATTCAGTGTGTTCATGAGAACCAGCTGTAGAGTGCTTAAAAAGATACATGCCTCAGCTCTATACTCACAGATTCTGATTAAGTAGATCAAGAGTAGGACTAGCACCCATATTTTTAGAAAGCTCTACAATTGAGTTAAATAGACGTCCTCAGAATGGTATCTACAAACAGAATATGCTGTTTTATATGATACCTTACACTAAGCAGTAAGTATCAACTTTTGAATCTTATATTTGGGAAAACAGCATAGAAAATAAATTCTAATTTATTTGAAAGCTAACTAGAAAAGAATCTTGAGAAGAGTCCATTTAATAATATTCCGTATCTCTAATTCATGATGTTTTGGGGCTTATCTTTTTCTTCCTTAGTGAATGGAGTGCCATAGAAAAAGAAATGGGTGATGGACTGCAGAGTGCCGGTCATCATATGGACGTGTAAGTACTAGTGAACCTAATGTGAAATCCCGTAATGAAACGTTAGTGACTCTTCTGCTTTCATCAAGTTTATTGGCATTTATATTATGCTCTGTGTGTACAGGTCTGACTTAAATTTATCTCAGGAATGCAAGGTTTATTTAACATTCAAAAGTCAATGTAATTAGTATTTCTACAGAATAAAGGCAAAAATCTGTATGTCCATTTTAATACATGTAAAAAAAGCATTTGACAAATTTTAACACCCGTTTACAATAAAAATTCTCATCAAACTAGGAATAAAAGGGAATTTTTTCAGTCTAAAATTTATGACTAATACTGCACTTAATAGTGAAATTGTTGCTTTCTCCTATGGTCAAGAACAAGGCAAGGTTCTGCTCTTACCACTTCTACTAAACTACTGGAAGTCCTACTCAGTTTAGTGAGGCAAAAAAATTAAATAAGAGGCATAACATTAGAAAGAAAGACACAAAACTGTCATTATTTGCAGTTGATAAGATCTTTTACAAAGAAAATCATAAGGAATCAAAGATATCAATAGAACTAACAACTGAATTTAATTAGAATGCAGGATAAAAGATTGATATTTAAAAAACAATTGTTTTTATATACTAGCAACAAACATTGGATAATAAAAATTTAAAACATTGCTGTTTATTTATTTAAATTTTCATCCATAAATGTACTTTCTGGATATTTGGGATAGTTTACATTTATTTATTTATTTACTTATTCATTTACTTTATTTTTTTGATTTGGAGTCTCACTCTGTTGCCCAGGCTGGAGTGCCATGGCTCACTCATGACTTCCCCAGCGTCGACCTACTGGGCTCCGGTGATCCTTCCACCTCCGCTTTCCAAGTAGCTGGAACTACAGGCGCACGCTACCATGCCCATCTAATTTTTATTTATTGTAAAGACGAGGTCTTGCCAAGTTACCCAGGCTGGTCTCAAACCTGCAGGTTCAGGCAGTCCACTCGCCTCAGCCTCCCAAAATGCTGGGATTACAGGCTAAACCACCAAACCTGGCCTATTTTTATTTTAAAGATGTCGGGTACAGTTCAGGGTTAGGTATACAAATGTTCATTATGCAGGTACCCTTGTTGATGAAGTATTCCTCCCTCCCTCCCCTTCCCCCCGCCGGCAGTTTCCCACTACTGCCAATCCTTTTCTTACAGTATTTTGATAATTGTTCAAGGTCAGCTTATGAGTTAGAACATGTGATACTCAGTCTCAGTACTTTGTTTCTGTGATAATTATAGACTCTAAGTCCATTCACGTTGCTGTGAAGTTCATGATTTTGTCCTTTTTGACTGTGTCATATTCCATCATGTACATTTACCACATTTTTTTATCTAGTCCTCTTTTGATGGGCAGCACGGTTGGTTGCATGTTCTTGCTATTGTGAACAATGCTGCAATAAACATATGTGTGCAGGTATCTTTTTCATAGAGTGATTTGAGTTCTTCCGGGTATATTTCCAGTAGGGGGGTTGCGGGGTTGTATGGAAGGTCAATTTTTAGATCTTTTAGGAATCACCACACTCTTCCACAGAGGCTGTTAGTTTGCACTCCCACCAGCAGTGTAGAAGTGTACCCTTTTTGCCGCATCCTCTCCAGCATCTGTTGTTTTTTGAGTTATCGATGGTGGCCATCCTGACTGGAGTTAGGTGGTGTCTCTGTGTGGTTTTAATTTGCATTTCTTTAATGACTAGGGAAGCTGAGCATTTTTTCATGTACCTGTTGGCTTGCTCGTATGTCTTCTTTTGAGAACTGTCTATTCATATCTTTTGTAATGGGGCTGAACAGTGCTGTTTATAATACCATCAAAACTATATAAAACATTGCTGAGGTAAATTAATGAAGATCTAAATAAATGGAGAGATAATCCGTGCTTATGGATTAGAAGTTTCTATATTATTAAGGTGTTCATTCACCCCAAATTGCAGACCCAATCAAAATTCCAGTAACTTTTTTTTTTTTTTTTGAGTTGGAATCTCACTGTCACCCAGGCTGGAGTGCAGTGACATGCTCACGGCCACCTCGACCTGCTGGGCTCAGTCAATCCTTCTGCCTCAGCCTTCCAAGTAGCTGGAACTACAAGCGTGTGCCACCATGCTCAGCTAATTTTTTGATTTATTGTAGAAATGAGGTCTCACTAAGTTGCCCTGCCTGGTCTCGAACCCATGGGCTCAGGCAGTCCTCTCACCTCGGCTTCCCAAATTGCTGGGATTATAGACATGAGCCACTGTGCCTGGCCTACTTTCTTTTTTTTCTGAGTTGGAGTCTCAATCTGTTGCCCAGGCTGGACTGCAGTGACACGCTCACAGCCACCACAACCTTGACCTGCTGGGCTCAGGTGATACTTCCGCCTAAGCCTTCCAGGTAGCTGAAACTACAGGCACATGCCACCATAGCCAGCTAATTTTTTTATTTATTGTAGAGATGAGGTCTCCCCAAGATGAAGTCTCGAACCCATGAGCTCAGGCAATCTTCTCACCTCAGCCTTCCAAAGTGCTGGGATTATAGGGGTGGGCCACCATGCCTGACCTTCCAGTGACTTTTTAATGGAAATTAATAAACTGATTCTAAAATGTATATGGAAATGCAAAGGACCTAGAAAGCAATCTTGACAGAGAACAAAACTGGAATTTATTATCTGCTTTCAAGATCTACTATAAATCTATAGTTATAGTGTTGGCATAAAGATAAGCAGATCAATGAAACAGAATAGTATCCAGAAATAGACCCACACTTTCAACAAATGGTGCTGGAAAAACTGGATATCTATGTGGGAAAAAAAATGAGCCTTGAGCCATATCTCACACTTTATACAAAGATGAATTTAATGTGGATTATAAATGTAAGTGTAAAAGCTAAGATTATAGCTTTTAGTAGAAAGCATAGAAGAACATTATTGCCGTCTTGAGGTAAGCAAATATTTCTTAAAGAGGACTTGAAAAGGAAAGAAAAAACTTTTTAATGGTGAACTGGTTTTCATTAAAATTTAAAGTTTGTGCTTATCAAAAGTGATATCAGCAAGTGAGTGGCCCATGCCTGTAATCCCAGGACTTTAGGAGGCTGAGGCCAGAGAATTGCTTGAACCCAAGAGTTTGAAACTAGCCTGGGCAACATGGTGAGAACTTGTCTCTACAGAAAAAAAATTTAAAAAGTTAGCCAGGTGTCTATAGTCCCAGCTAAGGAGGAAGGATCACCTGAGCTCAGGAGATTGAGGCTTTAGTGATCTGTGATCATGCCACTGCACTCCAGCCTGGACAACAGAATGAGACTCCAACTCAGAAAAACAGAGATACCCTATTGGAGGAGAGAGAAATGGAGAATTTATGTTAAACGAGATACAGAGTTTTAGTTGGAGAAGATGAAAAGTTCTGGAGATAGAGATGATGGTAATGGTTGCACAACAGTGTGATGTACTTAATGCCACTGAATTGTATGCTTTAAAATTGTTAAAAATATACATTTTATATTATGCTCTTTTTTTTTTTGGTTTTTTTGTTTTTTGGTGTTTTTTTTGAGTTGGAGTCTCACTCTGTCACCCAGACTGGAGTGCAGTGGCTGCTCCCGGTCACCGCAGCCTCGACCTGCCGGGCTCCGGCGATCCTTCCGCCTTAGCCTTCCGAGTAGCCGGAATTACAGGCGCGCGCTAGCACACCCTGCTGATTTTTTGATTTATTGTAGAGATGAGGTCTCGCTGCCCAGGCAGGTCTCGAACCCGCGGGCTCAGGCAATCCACTCACCTCAGCCTCCCAAAGGTGCAGGATTACAGGCTGAGCCACCGAGCCCAGCTTTGCTTTTTGTTTTTTGTAAGTTGGAGTCTCACTCTACCACCCAAGGCTGGAGTGCGGTGCCATGCTTAAGGCCACCGCAGCCTCTACCTGCTGGGCTCAGGTGATACTTCTGCCTCAGTCTTCCAAGTAGCTGGAACCACAGGCATGTATTGCCACACCCGGCTAATTTTTTTATTTATTGTAGAGATGAGGTTTCACCAAGTTGCCCAGGCGGATCGTGAACCCCTCAGCTCAGGCAATCCTCTCGCCTCCACTTCCCAAAGTGCTGGGATTACAGGCTTGGGCCACTGTGCCCGGCTTGTATTATTTTTTTTAAAGACACAAGTAAGATAATGAAGAGGCAAGCTACACACTGGGAACAAACGTTTCTAACCATAGTGTAGCAAGAACTTCTATAATTCAGTAATAAAAAGCCAACAAAAAGTCAATCTTTTTTTTTGAGGTTATCCTTCCACCTTAGCCTTCCAAGTAGCTGGAACTATGGGCATGCACCACCATACCCTGCTAATTTTTCTTAATTTATTGTAGAGACAAGGTCTCACCAAGTTGTCCAGGCTGGTCTCAAACCCCTGGGCTCAGGTACTCCTCTCGCCTCTGTCTCCCAAAGTGCTGGGTTTACAAGCATGAGCCACTGCGCCCAGCCTAAAAAATCAATCTTAGGTATTCTTACCACACAAAAAATGATAGAATGCCAGATGATTTATTAATTAGCTTGCTTTAATCGTTTCCACAATGCATACATATAGCAAAACATCATGTTGTGCACTATAAGTATCTACAATTTTTATTTGCCAGTTATGCCTTAAAACTGTGGGGAGAAAGAAAAGAAAAAATATTTTATCTAAATATTACTTTTCTTTAGGCTATGTTCGAACTAACTGGTTATTTTTTCAACCAGTTTGCTTAACCTTAAGTCTTTCTGCAATCTGTTGAGTTAGCATTTCAGAATTTGCAAGAATTTAGGATTATCCCTTCAGTTGATTTATATAAAGTGTTAAAATTACGCTTGGTACTCTTATCAACCAGTCTGTCATTTATACTTTGCCACCCAACAGTATTCCAGTTTACCTCCACACTGAGTTTCCTGTGTCTTTAGGTCACCAGCCTAACCCTAACACTAATCTAGTCTTCAGGTCACCGGCCCTGGGGCTCTTCTTCGTTTTTCTTAATAGTAACTCTTCCAGAAACATAGACTTATGAGCTAAAGGCAGATTTTTCTACTCTTAACAATAATTCTCTAGGCTTTTTTTCAGTCAAATATAAGAAATTCTCAGCCTGTAATCTCAGCACTTTGGGAGACCGAGGCAAGTGGATTGCCTGAGCCTATGGGTTTGAGTTCAACCTGGGTAGCTTGGCGAGACCTTATCTCTATAACAAAATCAAAAAAATTAGCCAGGCATGGTAGCATGTGCCTATAGTTATGGCTACTTGGAAGGCTGAGGCGGAAGGTACGCCGGATCCCAGCAGGTCAACGCTGGTGTGGCCGTGAGTGTGCCACTCCAGCCTGGGCAATGACATGAGACTCCAACTCAAAAAAGAAAAGGAAAAAGAAATTCTGGCTGGGTGCAGTGGCTCACACCTGTGATCCCAGCACTTTGGGAGGCTGAGGTGGAAGGATTGCTTGAGCCCAGGAGTCTGAGACCAGCCTGCGCAACATAGTGAGACCCTGTTACTTTTTTTAAAAAAAGGAAGAAGAAGAAGAAAGGAAAAAGAAAGAGAAAAAGAGAAAGAAAAAAATAATTCACTCTAGTTCGCTCTAGTAGATGTATGTTGTAATTACAAAATGTGTACTTTCACTGCTTTTATAAATCCTACATTGCTTTTCAAATAAACCTTATCATAGCTTGCTTTATTTTATCTTTCAGTAAACTTTGTTTACTTGTCTAGATGAAGCAGGCCTGGAGACATAAGTATGTGTTTTTTATTTCCATGCTAAGAAATCAGAATTAATTTGAAAGAAAGGTGCCTGTTATACCACACAGAAGTAGCACATACACATAACCTATATCTTTATTAAGTTTACAGTGTGATCAGGGAAATAAAATCAACATATGACACATTACTTTGATAAAATTTAAGTTCTGAATTGTTGATGAGAAATGATGAATAAAGACTGAAGCCATCTGGGAAAGTTTCATAGGGGTGTCAAGATACGTGCTTGTAGGGTTTTGAGAAGCTAGTGAAGGGCCATCATGTTTCTGTACATGTGGGGACTCACGTTTCTGTCTCATGTGGAGACCAGCGTGACAGTGGGGGGGGGTCACAAGCACAGCTGAGATTGCTGCTGAGAACTATATAAAAGAAGCTGCTAAAGTTTTCTGTAAAGTTTTCTGTAATCTTTATTGACTTTTCCCTTTGTAATTTTTTGGCATTACTGTAAATGATTGCTACCAAGAACATGTGTGTATTAGTTACATAAAACTCTCATTCTTTCTACAGATTTTGTAACCTTTTCATATTCTATTTGAACAAAAGACATTACAGTCTTAAAATGCTTCTTAAGCTGCCTATGAGAAGGACCATTTTTTGTGTGTTTTGTTTTTTACTTCTGAGCCATTGCTGACCAAAACATTTTGGTAAAACTCAATAAAATTATCATGATAATAGCAAATTGCTTTAAATGATTCTAAATGCTAATTCTCACTTTCTGTACTTATTCTGTGGACTACACTTTGAATAATGCTTCTTTATGACATTAATACTTTGTGTTCAGATGAAAGTTACTCTATTGATGCAATGTTTTTAAAACAGGTATGCATCTTCTATTGATGATATTTTGGAAGATGAAGAACATTATGCAGACCAGTTAAAGGAGTATCTTTTTTATGCGGAAGCACTGCGGTAAGTTTAATACCAGTTCAGATGCAGCCATGAGGCTGCCCATCACTCTCCTCAGATGCTACTGCAAAATACACATAGTAAGATGTTTTTAAAATGATTCTACCAGGCGCAGTGGCTCATGCCCATAATCCCAGCACTTTGGGAGGCCGAGGTGAAAGGATCACCTGAGCCCACAAGTTCCAGACCAGCCTGGGCAATGTGGCAAGACCTCATCTCTACAATAAATAAAAAAATTAGCTGGGTGTGGTGGCACGTGCCTGTAGTTCCAGCTACTTGGAAAACTGAGGTGGAAGGATCGCCTGAGCCCAGCAGGTTGAGGCTGTGGTGGCCGTGAGCGTGCTACTGCACTCTAGCCTGGGTGACAGAGTGAGACGCCAACTCAAAAAAATGAAATAAAATGATTTCCTCAGATGTTGAATGAGGACTCATTGTATTCCTCTTTTGCAGGTGCTAGGCATAAAAATGTAAAACGAGGCCTGCCCTTGAAACGTTATTTTGATAAAGCTTTCCAGTCTCAAGCGTCAAGTCTGTCTATATGTTCTTTCCACATTTTCCACTTTGAAGATTAGAAGCAGAATACAGATTAAGTGTATATAGCAATATCTGTCACTAGGTTGTATATTGCCATTTTTATTCTGTATTTTTTTCCATGTCTGTTTTATCAGTAGGTTGTATAACTCCCTAACATTAAGAACTTGTCTTCTGTTTTTGTAGTATTGCCTACAGAGCCAGATCCAATTTTTAGCTACATAATCCTCCTGTTTGATTAAGAAAAAGTTACTGTATTTTTTCCTGACCAATTTAGAAAATTGAATTATTTTCATAGTGAGAGTGGCTTTCACCCAGTCTTCCTGTCACTTTTTTTTTGAGTTGGAGTGTAGTGGCATGCTCACGGCCACCACAGCCTCAACCTGCTGGGCTCAGGCGATCCTTCCACCTCTGCCTTCCAAGTAACTGGAACTACATGGCCGTGCTACCAAACCCTGCTATTTTTTTTATTTATTGTAGAGATGAGGTCTCGCCAAGTTGCCCAGGCTAGTCTTGAGCCCATGGGCTCAGGCAATACCCTCACCTCAGCCTCCCAAAATGTTGGGATTATGGGCATGAGCCACCATGCCCGGCCCCCCTGTCACTTTTTAAAAGCAATATAAGAATCCTTTTAGGAAAACAGAAGAACAGTATTTCCTTAGCTGTTCAGTAACTGGTGTATAAACATCTGCCCATTGTCAGCTTTTTCCCTTCTAGAGATCTGAGTAATAGGAAGTTTCACCAAGGTATTTTCAGATTGCCAAGCAAAAGAAAGTTGATGAATACAGTGGGAATTTGTTGTAGCTCTTAAGAATTATTTTTTAAAAAGCTGAGCATGGTGACTCATACCTGTAATCCCAGCACTTTGAGAGGCAGAGGCAGGTGGACTGCTTGAGCCCAAGAGTTCAAGGCCAGTCTAAGCAACATAGCAAGACCTTGTCTCTACAAAAAAAAATTTTAAATTAGCTGGGTGTGGTGGCATGCACCTATAGTCTCAGCTACTCGAGAGGCGAAGGTGGAAAGATCGCCTGCACCCCGGAGGTCGCGGCTGCCATGAGCCCTGATCATTGTGATCATGCCATTTTACTTCAGCTGGGGTGACAGAGTGAGACCCTGGCTCAAAAGAATTTTCAAAAGGGCATATGCACAGAGAGGTGTCCATGGTGTGTAGCTAAGTAAGAAGAGATAGAGAACCAGTTTGAGATGTGTGACTATGTGTGTTTGTAAATGCCTAGCTAAATTCTGGAAGGATATATACAGTACTATCGAGTTACATAGATTCTGTTTGGATAGTAAGATTGGAGTAGAGAGAAGTTTCTTGAAACTTCCTTTTTTTGTTTGCGCATTTCTGTATTCGATTTTTAAAATAATGAACATGAATCCACGTTCATTCTGATAATAAAAACTAATGCACATTTCTAAATAACAGTGAAGAAGACTTTGAGATATTATTCTTTTTAAGAATACTTAGAGCCGGGCTCGGTGGCTCAGCCTGTAATCCCGCGCCTTTGGGAGGCTGAGGTGAGTGGATTGCCTGAGCCCGCGGGTTCGAGACCCGCCTGGGCAGCAAGACCTCATCTCTACAATAAATCAAAAAATCAGCTGGGCGTGGTAGCGCGCGCCTGTAATTCTGGCTACTTGGAAGGCTGAGGCGGAAGGATCGCCAGAGCCCAGCAGGTCGAGGCTGCAGTGGCCGGGAGCGGCCACTGCACTCCAGTCTGGGCGACAGAGTGAGACTCCAACTCAAAAAAAAGAGATTACAGCATTAGTTCTTATGTTGTATAAAAAAATTTTTTTGGCTGGACATGGTGGCACACATCTGTAATCCTAACAATCTGGGAGGCTGAGGTGAGAGGATTGCTTGAGGCCAGGGGTTCAAGACTAGCGGGGTCAACATAATAAAACCCTGTCTTTATATTTAAAAAAAAAAACATCTTTACGTATATAATAATGGTGTGTGTATTGAAAGAAATGTTGTAATTATCCAGAAAACATTTTTTTTGTTTTTTGTTTTGTTTTCTTTTGAGTTAGAGTCTCACTCTGTCACCCAGACAGGAGTGCAGTGGCACACTCACAGCCACCACAGCCTCGACCTGCTGGGCTCAAGCGATCCTTCTGCTTCAGCCTTCCAAGTAGCTGGAACTACAGACATGCCACCACACCCAGCTAATTTTTTGATTTATTGTAGAGATGAGGTCTCACGAAGTGACCCAGTTGGGTCTCGAACCCTTGAGCTCAGGCAGTCCTTTCACCTCAGCCTCCCAAAGTGCTGGGATTATAGGCATGAGCCACCATGCGTGGCCTTTTTTGTTGTTTTTTGTTTTGTTTTGTTTTGTTTTGAGTTGGAGTCTCACTCTGTCGCCCAGACTGGAGTGCAGTGGCTGCTCCCGGCCACCGCAGCCTCGACCTGCTGGGCTCTGGCGATCCTTCTGCCTCAACCTTCCAAGGAGCTGGAACTACAAGCGCGCGCTACCACGCCTGGCTGATTTTTTGATTTATTGTAGAGATAAGGTCTCGCCTGCCCAGGCGGGTCTCAAACCCGCAGGCTCAGGCAGTCCTCTCACCTCAGCCTCCCAAAG